ACCTCTCAGGCAGATTCTCTTGCCCTCAGGATCTCTTAGGGGCCTAAAAAGGCCCTTCTCCCCCATTTTGGTTGTGTTTTGCTTCCTGCGAATTTCAAAATAACAGTTAAAACTTTGCTTTTCTGTTTGTGTTTCACTGGTTCAGCCCCCACCCCCTCGTTCCGCATTCATTCACTTTATTTTTCTTCCTCTGTTTTTTCCTTTTTTCCCCCCCTCAGCAGTCTCTGCTTGGTCAATCCATAATTACCTCAGGTTGGGGAATTATTGCTACATACTTCGTTTTTTCACCACAGGAGCCAGTTTCACAAGCCGTGACTATAAAATCCACTAGCCATCGTAGGGAAGCCATCATCCTCCAGGGAGCTGCAGCGATGAAGGCATTAGTGCTCACCCTACTCTTCCTCCTCCTTCCAGCCAGCGAGGCCAAAGTATTTAACAGATGGGAACTGGCTTCAGTTCTGAAACAGCTTGGACTGGCTGGATATCGCGGCTATGACTTGGACAACTGTGAGTTCAGTCTCTCTTTCTCTCCACCTGAGCAATGTCCAGGTTTGCAAGGGGGATGCAAAATGGGGCAGTTCAGCCAGCCCGACAATGAATAAAAAGCTCTTTTCAGTTTTCTTAGAATGAGAAGATCTGCTTTCTTCCCATCCCAAAGCACCGGGGAGAACTCACGATTCCCCTTGCATTAACACTCTTATTTTAGTGAGGGTGGTCAATATCCAGTTTGTTGCCTGTCTGGGGCAAGAGCAGAACTGCAGTACAATTAGGCCTCTTTTGCCTCTTTATTGTCTTTTTATTGTCACTGGCTTAGCTAATAGTTTATTTGGGTTTTTTTAAGAAAAGGGGGTTATCCCTGCCAGGATAAGCATCCTCTGAGAGGGAAGTTCCTTCAAATCCCCCCAAATTGATTCAGTTTGCTCAAGGAGGCATCCCAGAAGATTTTCCGTATATGCAGCAGTGCGAAAGACCCACAATGGAAAAGTACCTCTTCCCTGGAATGCCAGGATTATGGAAGGAGAAGAAAGGAGAGGTGGCATCATGTGCCACTAAGAACCCCAAGAATACTTTTGAGACAAGAATCAGATTTATTCCAAATTCCCCTGAAGTTTCCAAAATGTATGGGACGTCTTGTCCTTCCTTGGTTGGGGGATGAATGAGAAGATGGTTAAATGTTCTGTTCTAAATGTTTGTATTAAAAAACTCAGGGTAGCACTTTCATTTACAGCAGAGGCCTTTTCCAGTCCTTTCCCTCTTTGCTTTCTTCCAGGGCTCTGTATGTCTTATCATGAGAGCGGGTACAGCACCCAAGTTGTGGGGCCACCAAACTTGGATGGCAGTCGCAACTACGGGATTTTCCAGATAAACAGCCGCTGGTGGTGCAACAATTACCAGGGAATTACAGCTAATGGCTGCAATACGCCTTGCAGCGGTAAGTCACATGGCATAGAGGAGAGATAACCTTGATAAAGGAATCAAGAGTTCTTAGGAGAACTCTTAAGATAAAAGTGATGAGAAAGTCATGAGAACTCAGTCCTGGGAAAGAAGGAGGCATCAGAAAGAGACTGAAAATACCGTAAGGCCACCTTGATTCTGTTTGGTATAAGAGGTGGGAGAGAGAAGCTTTGACAAGCTTTCCAAGTTCTTTTGTTATTATTATGTTCTACGACAGCTAAGTAACATTCCTGTAATCCTTGCAGTGTCTGATTCCTGACCTGACCTACTTCCAAGGACTGA